GAAACCCTCCACCTTCCCCAGCTCCACCTGTATAGATCTGCTACGAGGTGATTCATGTATGCTATATGGGGGTTATTTCATGTATGTTATATTTGCAGCAGCAATATTTCTTACATGCTCACAGCAGCATGTTGTGGATGTATTGGCAGTAGCAAGTCTCGGTACTTGCTCTACCCCAGCAGCAGCGTAGCAGATCTATTCCGCCAATACCAAATACATTAACATTGTCATCTACATTACCATGCCAATCCCTCCGAGAGTTGTCATGACAGAACTAAATTTAACTGATGTTTGAGGTGTATGTTTTCACTGAGCATTAAAGGCATCTTTCATTGGAATTGCACCTCTTATGATAGGCTAACATCTCAAAGGTTGTGGAGTAGCCTACTTCTTACCATTTGATATACAGTATAGTGGAAACACTTCTAAATTATATTACTGTTTTGTTCTATTTTTATGATTTGTAAATTAACATACAGTACTAAAGTAATATTTAGCATTTCCAGTGCATCATTTTTAATCTGAGCTAGTTTCCCAAGATCTCTGTATTTAAATAGATTGTTTTGGCCAATGCCATGTTACATGAATTCAATAGGGGTGTTGCATCAGAGAGGACAACACAAGGGTTTGCAAAAGTGATGCTTTGTCATGCTGCCAAAACTTTTGCTGCAATGCACCTTGGCGTAGACATTGGTGCTGACCAATTAGAATTTCAGAGATCATCTCAAAGGTTGTGGAGTAGCCTACTTCTTACCATTTGATATACAGTATAGTGGAAACACTTCTAAATTATATTACTGTTTTGTTCTATTTTTATGATTTGTAAATTAACATACAGTACTAAAGTAATATTTAGCATTTCCAGTGCATCATTTTTAATCTGAGCTAGTTTCCCAAGATCTCTGTATTTAAATAGATTGTTTTGGCCAATGCCATGTTACATGAATTCAATAGGGGTGTTGCATCAGAGAGGACAACACAAGGGTTTGCAAAAGTGATGCTTTGTCATGCTGCCAAAACTTTTGCTGCAATGCACCTTGGCGTAGACATTGGTGCTGACCAATTAGAATTTCAGAGATGTCTAGTTTAGCTTTTTTTCTTTCTTTTTTTTTTGGCAGAGGCTATTATATGCTAAGTATTTACACTAAGTATTAAACAGTATGCATAAATAGTGTTTTATACAATTAGCAGCTTAGTGTATTGAAGTATTATGCATTATAGAGCATTATAGATGAGTATGCAATAATAAGATATTCAGTGAATTTTTATTAAAAGCATAAATGGATGCTGCCTTATTGGGACCCTACTTGCTGCTATCTCTAAGCACAACCTAACACCTAACACTATTTATTTCTAACCATATTGAACCTGTTGATCAGTAAAGGTGTCCTTGAAGGTCCTGGAAGGGAGCCGTTTTGAGCTTGGTAACAATATGAGCTAGACATTTTGTAGTCAATGTGCCAGCCTGTCCGAGAACACCACATTCAATCTCAATAATAGGCATATTAAAAACTCATTAAACACGTGGTAACACTTTATTTTGATGGGTCCACAACATACTGACTATAAGAAACTTTGCAAGTATAAGTCAGCAAATTTTACTAACCCTAAACCTAACCTAACAGTCTACTCTGAGAGTTAGTAGACATGTAGTTGCTAATTAATGAGAATTATTTGACATGTACTGTAGTTGCAAAGTTACTTATTTAGTAGAATGTCTAAAGTGGATTATCAAAATAAAGTTTAACCAAACACTTTATTTCCACTATTAAATACCATTAGGCACTTTATTAACCTTTCCCCCTAATAATTTCTCTATTTATTATTTAAGATATATTAAAATACACACTAAAATGGAGAGGTCAGAAAAATCAGGGTCAGAAAATACTTACTCTCACAGTCCCAGTTACTTCCTTCATTTCTTTTGTAATTTTGTCAGGCTCAACAACATAATGGTGTGTGGATTTAATGTAAACTGCCTTTGCTAAAAATACAGCTTATTTGCACTTCGTAGAAATAGACACTCTCTTTGTTTACCCCAATATTTCTATATTTCCATACTCAAAATGGATTGGTCAAATTAAACTTAAGTCCTCGTACAAAGGGTACATTGACTGCAGCCTTGTGCACTCATGTTGATACACATGCAAGCATAATGCTAAAAGTGTTTGTATTTGTTTGTCATTCAGGCAAAAGGATTCTGAGTGAAAAATGTCTACCCCTGATGGGTGCCAACACAACCCAAATGAAGATGATGTGAATTCTCCTACCAGTTCTTTGAACTTCCTGGATCAGAACTACCAGGAGCTGCACCAGAACTGCCTCACTGAAAACACACTCTACAATGATGAGTTGTTCCCTCCAGACAACAGCTCCATTGGCTTGTTTGATGATTTGTCACATGAGGTGGACATGTCTCAAGTTGTGTGAAAGCGGCCATCCGTATGTAATCATTACAGAATTCTTTGTATATAAATATTCTAACGTTCTACCATAACGGCTTTCACAGCTTTGCCTGGAATTATGAATTACAAATCTCTTCATTGTATGAGCTGCTACATGTCCATGTTTTGATACTGAAGGAATTGCACTCAATTTTCTCTTATCAGGAATTGGTGTCAGACCCTAATTTAATTGTAGATGGCATGTCCAGGTTTGACTATGCACAGGGAAGTGTATTAGGTAAGTTTGAGTGTATTCTGGTATTATACTGTAGATGCTATGTCAACTATACAATGTGTTGTGGACCAATATTTGTTCTCAACCCAGGTATCAACTCATGTCTCTTCTTAATTTAAATGGCATTAAGCACAATATGATGGGAAACTAGTAATAATATACAGCATTATTTTTGACACATTTTGTACATATTTCAAATGTGACTTCAGATATGTACATTTTTATTTATTTAGGAAACTGTTGGTTCTTGGCTGCAATTGGGGCTCTAACTTTTGAGAAGGATATCATAAAACAGGTCATGCCAGCTGAACAGTCATTCACCGAGGATTATGCTGGGATATTTCATTTTAGGGTGACTATAGTAGCTGATCGATATTTCAACATTTATTAATTTTCTCACATTATAATTTCTTGAGCACAAGTTTTATATTATATATTTTCCATGTTTGCAATTTATCACAGTTCTGGCGATTTGGGAAATGGATTGATGTTGTTATTGATGACCAACTTCCAACTATTGATGATGAACTACTTTTTGTGTGTTCAAAAACATATAATGAGTTTTGGCCTGCCTTACTGGAGAAAGCTTATGCAAAGTAGGTACCATTATTTTGAAAAAAAGTGTCCTGTTCATTATCTGTCAGTTGAATTGCTAAGGTTTAAATTGACTTACAAGTGTGCTGAGGAGGGAACTTAAATAAACTGTCTTTACAGGGTGTGTGGGTCCTATGCTGACTTGCATTATGGTTTCATATCTGAGGCCCTGATGGACTTTACTGGTGGGACGCATATGTATTATACACTGAATATGGCTCCTGCTGATTTGTGGAAAATCATGAAATGTGCATTCAAGTCAAAAACGCTTATGGGCTGTTTGGTAAGTAAGGCTACAGTGGTAAGAAAGACCTCACCAAATCCTGGATTATGTACTTTTATTAAATGTTTACATTTGTTGTTTTTTGTATGTAACATTAGACACCTGAAGAAAATGAGTTACTTCATGGCATAGCTCCGAAGCATGTTTACACAGTGACAGGGGTTTTTGAGGTAAGACCACACAAGCATCTGGCCTTTTCGGTTAGACTTATATTATAACTTTTGTTAATAGGAGTCTTCCACAATTGAATTGAGATTCAGGAACATTTTTTACCCTTTAGAGGGCAGTAGTATAGGCATCCGTCAGTCTCAGGAGACCATGGAGCATGTCATATGAAGATCACCGGTACAGAATTCAGATAGATGGATAGGTTGGGCTGGGCTGGCCTTCCTCCGTAGCTGCTTGACTGATATTTGAGGGTCTCCACAAAGTTGGAGAGGCTTTTGTGCACAAAATATCTCCACTTCTAGTCTGTCTGAGACAGCAGCTTCCCAAGAGTCTGGGTTGATTTCGAGGGGCCTTGAGATCTCATTTACAGTACAAACATCTTTGCACCTCATGTGGGTTCTATGTGTTGAGTAATACAGAAGATCCTTCAGAATGCACCCATCACCCATTCAGACAACATGTCCCAGCCATCACATGCATCTCTACTTGAGAAGAGTGTACAGGGATAAGATCCCTGCTCTCTCAAGGACAGTGCAGTTGGAGATCCTGCCAGGATGTGACGGAGGCAGCACAAGTGGAAGGTGTCGAGTCTACTTTCTTGATGAGCATGCAGGGTCCATGACTAACAGCGATAGAGAAGCGTGCTGACCACACAAGCCTTGTAGACCTGGACTTTGGTTCCCGTTTGTTAGCTTATCATTGGGCTACACTCCCTTTGTCAGTCTGGACAGGTATGTGGTAGCCTTCCTGATGCGCCTGTTTAGCTCAGTGTCACGAGGAAGAGAGTCAGAGAGAGATGATCCCGGGTTCACAAAGTTGTGTACAACCTCAAGTTTGGAGTCAGAGTTTGAGAATCTTGCCCCATGACTTGCATCTTCTTTAGGCTGAGGGCTTTAGTCACAATTGGTTGCATTTTGTCCCTAAACACTATTATTTCTGGCCTTTGAATTGAGTGCACAAAATGTTTATTGTACTCATGGTGAAAAAAGGTGAAAAAGTATATTAGTAAGCACAACTGTGGTTCATTGGAAAAGTGTGCCTGGCGTGGCGATTTCTGTGATCGTGGCTTCAAATTGGTGGTCCTGTGTCGTACAGTGAGAGAGGTTCAAAGATGGTCATTGTCATGGTCTTGCGACAGAAGATAGCTTGCAATAATTTTTTGACAGTGTCAGAAATTCAGCATGATCATCGCACAGTGTGTTTGCTGCTACGACCCACGTTTACTGACCAGCCAATAAAAATGAGACATGAAATCAATGCAACATGGCGATAGAACATAAAAATACTTACCTCAAGCTTTTAACCTTTCCTCTTTTGCCGCTTCCACTTTTTTACAGCACACATAAAAACTACAACTCCCAAACTGTGATTTGTCATGCTCTTTTTGTTTACCACTAGCGCATGCTGATTTTACTCTATAGTAACGTGCGTCATAGCCTACGAGCCACTAGGTATCATCATCGTACAGTCTACATGCATGTCATACCCAAGTTTATTAGATCCATGTCGCACAGTGTCATTTGTAATGTTCTTATAGGATTGCTAAAATCGTTTAGTTTGTAGAAGGCTTTAAACTCTGCCCTAAACTTAAATGATTAACTAAAAATGCATTTGCTGAAACAACTGTGGCATTTTGTCACATCCATCTGCTGGAATGCCCTTGACAGCCACCGGAGGGCCCTCCTGTGTTCTTGGTTATTGTGAACATTGCACTTGAAGACAGTCAGGTGTTTAAAAGACACTTGGGGCTGATCTCAAGTTTGACAGACCCACCACTGATTTCGGCCAGAGCAGTTGGTATCTCAAGGGCCTCAGCACTGGTTGTTATAGAGTCTGTTCCATTCCATGAGTCCGCTTTGGAACCTGCTCCAGTCCAGGAGCCTTCAGAATTCAATCCAGAACCCGCACCAGCCCAAGAGCCTTCAGAGTCCACTCATGAACTCGCTCCAGTCCAGGAGCCCTCAGAGTCCACTCCAGATCCCACTCCAGTCCAGGAGCCCTCAGAGTCCACTCCAGAGCTCGCTCCAGTCTGGGAGCCCTCAGAGTCCACTCCAGAGCCTGCTCCAGTCAGGGAGCCCTCAGAGTCCACTCATAAACCCGCTCCAGTCAAGGAGCCCAGAGAGTCCACTCCAGAGCCCACTCCAGTCCAGGAGCCCTCAGAGTCCACTCCAGAGCTCGCTTCAGTCAAGGAGCCCAGAGAGTCCACTCCAGAGTAGGCATGGGCCGGTATGAGATTCTGACCGTATGATAACCATAGATAAAAAAAAAATATCACGGTTTCACGGTAACGCTTCCACTTTTTTACAGCACACATAAAAACTACAACTCCCAAACTGTGATTTGTCATGCTCTTTTTGTTTACCACTAGCGCATGCTGATTTTACTCTATAGTAACGTGCGTCATAGCCTACGAGCCACTAGGTATCATCATCGTACAGTCTACATGCATGTCATACCCAAGTTTATTAGATCCATGTCGCACAGTGTCATTTGTAATGTTCTTATAGGATTGCTAAAATCGTTTAGTTTGTAGAAGGCTTTAAACTCTGCCCTAAACTTAAATGATTAACTAAAAATGCATTTGCTGAAACAACTGTGGCATTTTGTCACATCCATCTGCTGGAATGCCCTTGACAGCCACCGGAGGGCCCTCCTGTGTTCTTGGTTATTGTGAACATTGCACTTGAAGACAGTCAGGTGTTTAAAAGACACTTGGGGCTGATCTCAAGTTTGACAGACCCACCACTGATTTCGGCCAGAGCAGTTGGTATCTCAAGGGCCTCAGCACTGGTTGTTATAGAGTCTGTTCCATTCCATGAGTCCGCTTTGGAACCTGCTCCAGTCCAGGAGCCTTCAGAATTCAATCCAGAACCCGCACCAGCCCAAGAGCCTTCAGAGTCCACTCATGAACTCGCTCCAGTCCAGGAGCCCTCAGAGTCCACTCCAGATCCCACTCCAGTCCAGGAGCCCTCAGAGTCCACTCCAGAGCTCGCTCCAGTCTGGGAGCCCTCAGAGACACGGTCTCTCCGTACAACAGTTTGTTTTTTGTTTTTTAAATGTCGTGATTTTGAACAGATATAAACAATGGCAGGAGGTATAAGTATAGATGTTATACCAGCTAAATTTTATTATTGTACTAAATCGCAGACAAGTACAGTACGTACTTTAGACTGCTATTACTCACTCTGTGAGGGAGGAAACTAGTTGACGTTAGCTAGTTAATTATCCATGTTATCTGCCTCGGTAGCAAGCCAAATAGTATTTATTTCAACACTGAAACAAACGGCGGGTGGGTCTCTGTCTTGATCGGGGGTAAAAGAGGGAGAAATGAAGATGACACAGATATATAGTTTATGTTCGACCTGGAAGTATTTATTTAGCGATCGGCGCTAAAACGTCATCTGTACGGAACACCGTGACTTTTCCAAACCGCGGTATACCTTGAAACCGGTTATCGTCCCATGCCTACTCCAGAGCCCGCTCAAGTCTACGAGTCCACTCTAGAGCCTGCTCCAGTCCGGGAGCCCTCAAAGTCCTCTCATGAACCTGCTCCAGTCCGGGAGCCCTCAGAGTCCACTCATGGACCCGCTCCAGTTTGGGAGCCCTCAAAGCCCACTCATGAACCCGCTCCAGTCCAGGGGCCCACAGAGTCCACTCCAGAGCTCGCTCCAGTCCGGGAGCCCTCAGTGTCCACTTATAAACCAGCTCCAGTCAAGGAGCCCTGAGAGTCCACTCCAGAGCTCACTCAAGTCTACGAGTCCACTCTAGAGCCTGCTCCAGTCTGGGAGCCCTCAAAGTCCTCTCATGAACCTGCTCCAGTCCGGGAGCCCTCAGAGTCCACTCCAGAGTCCACTCAAGTCTATGAGTTCACTCCTGAGCCCGCTCTAGTCTATGAATCCGCTCATGAGCTCATTTAAGTCTACGAGTTCATTCCCGAGGTCGCTCTAGTCTACGAGTTCGCTCCATAGTCAGTTCTGGTCTATGAGTCTGCTCCATAGGCTACTTCAGTCTAAGAGTCCACTCCAGAGTCCACCCAAGTCTGCGAGGGCATTCCTAAATTCGCTCCCATCTATGAGTCCACTCAAGTTCCTCCTGAGGTGGCAGCTTCCGCTGCAAAACCTCCCAAGGTGGCGGCGTCCGCTTCAGCTCCTCTCTGGGCAGTGGTGCCCACTCCCGAACTCTCTCGAGGTCATCTGTCTCATAAGCTCCGCTGCAGTGCTCTTCAGCTCAGTCAGCTCCACCGTGGGGATCTTTGATCCCATCTGCCTTACTGTGGTGGTCGTCTGTTTTGGCATGGGGATCTTCGGCTCCATCTGCTCTGCTGTGGTGGTCTTCAGATCCGCCCTGGTGGTATTTGGCCCCGCCCTGGCCTCCTGTGCTGCCGACCCCGCCCTGGTTCCCTGGTCTATCTTTGGCTCCTGGCCATCTTCCACCACACGGGCCTGGCCCACCATCCCTCCCACTGATCCGCCTACATTCCTCCTACCTCTTGGAACATTTTGATACTTGGTGGGGCGTCTGGAATCTGATCCTTAAAGGGGTCATATGATGTTGCTAAAAAGAACAACATAAATTTTCCACATACTGTACATTATTGTTTCTCCTCTATGCCCCGCCTTTCTGAAACACGTCATGACAAAATGACAAATACATGCATACTCTGAAAGCGCTCCACAAGACATGTGTGGTTATATTACTGGATTGAAATTTAACGGGAGAATGCACGTTTTAAACAGCTTATTGTACAGGTAAATTAAACGCCGTTCTAATCTAATGCACTGTAACGCACACACATAGGCTTCAGACAGTAGCGCGAACAGTTCATCTCACGCAGATCGCCAGCACACAGAATCATTCAGCGCGGAAATGTATTGTCAACACTGTTCTGTGATTTATCAATAAAATAGCTTAGAAACTGAAAAGTTCAAGCATATATTTCTTAATAACCAAATCCCACAGCTTCACTTCTAGTAGAGAGACGTTGCCAGGTAGAATTAATTCACACACGCAATCGCTCTCACTAATGCATTCATATTAATGTAATCTTTACTGTGCTACTTTATCTGTATCTGATTTAGAACGAGCAGAAATCTGTGAGAAATATAACGACCTAAAGACAAAAGAACTGATAAAAATGAGCTGTTATAGGAGCAACAGCCATGTGGGCAGCGCTGTGTCATATGCCATAGCTGTGCACAAGCTGTTTGTCACAGCTCCAGACTTATTTGTTCATTAATGACGTCATCAGCAACTAGTCGACTTCGACTCGACTTTCATCACATAAAAGTCGACTTCAAAAAATCAGAAGTCGTTCAACCCCTAACACACACACACACTTTTGTCCCTTGATAATGTTTAATAATATCCATATTCATATATTAAGCATTTTTATTGATTTATGAAAATATTAATACTATATTATAAAAAAGCTGTTATAGGAGCAACAGCCATGTGGGCAGCGCTGTGTCATATGCCATATCTGTGCACAAGGTGTTCGAGTCTCAGCTCCAGACTTATTTGTCATTAATGACGTCATCAGCGACTAGTCGACTTCGACTCGACTTTCATCACATAAAAAAAATCTGAAGTCGTTCAATCCCTAATATATGTATATATATATATATATATATATATATATATATATGTGTGTTTGTGGAAGAATTGCTCTGTGTCTCTGTTTTTGCTGGTGACCATTCTGTTTCAACGTGTGTGAGGCTTTTTGCCTTCTTGCCTCATGTGGATTACAGTTTTGGATTACTTTATTAAATGCTGCACTTGGATCTTCCATAGAGTCTGTGAGTGTTTTCTGGCACATTTTAGCTTGCTTCTTCAAATCTTAGAACTCTTTTATAGTGATTCTTATCATGTGCTCTGCATCACAGGTGCAGTGCGTGAATTGTGTGAATGTGAGAAATTCTTCACAAAGCCATAAGTATTTATAGTGTACAATTGCAGGTTTATTACAAAGCCAGACTAAGAAACAAGCTAGAGCAGAGATAAATTGCAAAGAAAAAGGATAGTGTGTGTGCCTTGGTTTGAGGTTGTGGATTTTGTAGGTAGAGTAGAGGCACATTTTTTTCAATGCTTTTTTGAGTGTTTCTTTTTTAATCAATTTAATACTCTTTTACTTTTAATAAATCTCTTAAACTGACATTGATTTCTGGCTTTGTAAAACAGGTGGTGAGTGACGAAAATCCAGTCCAGCTGGTAAGATTGTTAAACCCATGGGGCGAAGAACAGTGGCTAGGAGACTGGAGTGATGGGTAACGTTTACAGTAACAGCTTAATTTTGCCAGACACAAACTCAGCAGAAAGTCGTACATTGCTTGAACACACCATGACATATCACCTTACATGCTTAAGGTTCTTTTCTTTGTATTTGCTACACAATAGCACCCATGGCTTGTTTATACATTTTACAGATCACCCCTATGGGACACAGTTTGTGGGGACATCCGCAAAATTTTCCATGAAGTTTTAAATAACGGGGAGTTCTGGTGAGCATGACCATGTTATGTACACCCACCCTCTCACATTTGAAGTGAGAAATGACTACTTCTATACAAAGTATGAAATCACATTTTACTTAGAAACATTTTTTTAACTGCAGGATGTCAATGGAAGACTTTACCAACATTTTTGAAAACATAGAAATCTGTTGTCTCTGTCCTGATTTTCTGGATGGCTCTGCTGAATGTCACTGGACCTCAAAACGACATTTTGGCAGATGGAATGCTGGGATTTCAGCGGGTGGTGACATAATTAAGACAGGTATTATTGCTCTATGCATATGTATATATTTGCACATAAAGCCCTATCAATCAGTTCCAGCATAGCAAAATGATAATAAAACCTTAAAGTATAAAGACAAGACTTTTAAAAGTAAGACAGATGTAACTTGAAATAAATGCATAGAAAATGAAAATAATGTACAGATTTTCTTTTAATGATCTAGAGACTTTCTGGACAAACCCTCAGTTTCGGGTGAAACTTGATGAGCTTGATGAGGAATGTGCTAGTGGCCAGCGTCCTGAAAATATACTGGTGTCCCTCATGCAGAACCATGAGAAGAGAAACAGAAAGAGCCAAGACAATTTTTATATCGGCTTCTATGTTTTTGAGGTCAGTATTTGCGTATACTATGCTTGTTTAAATATGCCAAATAATGTTTAGTATTTACGTATGTTTGAATCTGATGTAGTTTAATTTTAAGTTTCTTTATAAATTGAAGGGGCTTTTATTTACATTTATAACATATTTATGCATTTAGTAGATGCTTTTTATTCAAAGTGACTTACATTTTGACAATTGAGAAACGTGAGCAATTGGTCACAGAGTCAACAATATTTGTAGAGTACAATGTCAGATTTATTAGAAACCCAAACTAAGAAACAAGCAGAGGTGAAATGTAAATAAACAGAGGATTTTGTGTGTGCCATGGTTTGAGGTTGTGGAGTGGTTACATTCTTATTGAAGAAGTGTGCCTTCAGCTGCTTTTTGAATGTTGTGATGGTCTCAGCATTTTCATGACATGTTTTGTGCATCAACTGCAATATCCCTTTAATGATGTTATGCCTTTTTCTCCTTTCTTTCACAGATACCACTCGAGGCAAGTGAAAATTAATCTAAATGTTATACTGTAATGGCCCTTTCAAGACTAAAGACACATTTTATTATTTTCTTTTAGATGAGAAGTCAAAGTGGGAGGTTTTCATCTGAGTTCTTCATTGACAGAGAGCCTGTGGCACAGACTGATGAATTATTATGTTTTAGAGAGGTGATGAAATTCTTCAGGCTGGAGCCGGGAGAGTATATGATTGTACCTTGCACAGAGAATCCTGGTGAAATTGCCTCCATTATCCTGTCTGTTTTCTCAAAGAATGAGACACACTTGGAGTAAGTTGTGATGCAGTCTAAAGAATTGGATGTGCTTAAGGCTGTTTAGAGTAACCTGAAATTACAGCTCTGTGATCTAAAGTTTTTCTCTTTCCAACAGACATATTCAAGAAACTCCTGAGTAGAATGGAGACCTTCTTGATGAGGGTGAGGTAAACATTGTATTGTCTGCAGACTTTATTACTTGTCACATGAATAGGAATCAATATGTTCTGCTTTTACTTTTTGTGCTTTAATTTTTCTTTCAGTGAATAATTTCAGAAAAAAAAAATCGAGAAATGTATTTGTTTTTGTTAATTATTCTGTTCTTAAGTGTTTTACCTTTATTTGTTAACAAATTGTTTTTGGTTTATAAAGCAAATGTGTCATCTGTTGGGAGGGTGATGTACTACAGTAGTTGCTATTCAGAATTGATCAGTTATGTTAGATGGCATATTTTATTACATGCCATGCAAGGTAAGAATAAATACTTGTACTTTTCTTTTTTTATGCAAAATACTGTAATCCTGTCAAATTATGCCTTGACGTGAAAAGCTGTAAAAAAACATGAATGAAAGTGTGTCATTATATCAGAAAGTGCATGTAATTCTTGTGTCGATTCCAAACAATTTATACTGCTGCAGACAGTGCAAATAAAGCTCCCCATATGAAACAATCACGATTTC